TCTATATACTTGGGGTACTTGGGGTACTTGGACCACAACTTGGACTTTACATGTTGACTTCAGTATACTCAGGCCTCAATTTGAGCAATTGGTGTTCTATCAGTCACACATCTTGTATAATTCTTATGTAATAATATCTATCATAGACATCCATACACTAGTTGTAAACCAGTCTGTTTTAAGGCTGTAGAAGCAGCTTTATAGTCTATTAGAAGAAGGGCAATAACATGTGATAGAAGACTTTAAGTTGTTACAATGTGCTTGTTTCAGTAGTGATACAGAGGTACAATATCCAGATAATGCGCAAGAATAGTGGTATCAGTGGTGGATGTCCAAGTTCTGCTATGGTACAGGAGAGGATGATGAAGAATTTCTCGGAGTCCAGCAAAGAGCGCTATATATGGTTGCTATTCTGTGCTATAGTGTGAGCTTCTGTAGTGTAGTGGTTGAACATGCTGTGTTGGACACTGAAATTGCAGGTTGCTGGTTCAATTCCCTGTGTTGGCATTTTTTTTGCCGCCGCTGCACCCACTAACAAATATTGTACACTTGACCTTAATCAAGAGCAGCTGTCCTTTGATTTACTTCCATGCGTATCATCTTTATTCAATACGTCTCACAGTGAACTTGGGCATGAACTTGAACAGGGACTTGGAGGACTTGGCCAAGTACCTGGTACTTGGCCAAGTCGACCCACCCGACTTGGCCAAGTCCATTGGACTTGGGGTACTTGAGGTACTTGGGATACTTGAGGTACTTGGCCAAGTACCCCAAGTACCTGTACAAGTCCGTGACGTTTTCCTGATGCTCGTTCACGGTCGAGGGATAGGTGCGGTGCACGACTGCAGGCCAAGCGAGCGCATCGTCCTTGGAGACGTTGATGTATTCAGTGACGTCACGTGTGCCATTATCGTCCAGGATCATGACTCCCGGAACTTTGTAGCTGGTGCATGGCCGGGCGCATGGGTATGGAGAAGAGGGCGGTTTGGGAGCGGGCACTCACCCAAACGAAGCCCCTTTTTCGTCGAACTTAAGCTTCTCATCGAGCGGGAGAGCCATAGTTTCATGACCCATCTCAAACATGTCATCTATCTCCTCTACGCCATGATTTCTTAGGCTCAAGCAGGTTTCAGTTCGCACGCAACGGCGACGGAGAAAGACATGGTACTCACTACCAGAACCCGAGCTCCGTCGCAGCCTTCCACAGTTTGTTGATCTCCTCTTCGTTGCCGGCTCTGACCAGTTGGTAGTCAACAACTATCAGTGGGCAGGTAGGGATGTCCTCGGGAAAGGGTGGGTACGTGGTGAGTCCAGGCATACTGGGTGCGAGCAGATGACGCTGTGTGACTTGCTGTTGCGGGAGCCTAAGTAGCCCTCAAGCGCATCTGCGGTGTTCCGCCCCGTGTACTAATCTCAGCTATCAAAGTCCCCTGACCGAGACGAGCTTCGCGACGTTCGCTTTTATTCACCGTGCGCGACCGTGACGCGCGCATAATTTTAGCATAGAACAAGGTTGATATAAACTTAGCCGTAGCCAGTCGCATGGTAAGGCCAAGAGAGATGCTGTTTCTGGGTGCGGATAGGATAAAACAGGTTCAAGGTCGAGTTGTGGAGTCGCACCCGAGAGGTCGAGGATATTGTGCGTCTGTACCACCGACCCCGGCAGTTGCCGTCGTAGTGCCACAGGCCACAGCTGAAACAAGCGCTTACAAGTCCAGCCTGAGTTGCAATTGATTTCAGACCGACACCTGCACTTACTTTGGGGCCTCGAGAGACGGACGTTGGGGAGACGAAAAATTGAACTGTGTGCGACGAGTAGCGGCATTTTGAGAAGTCATGGTATAAATTGGCCAATGGCGAATGATACAGAAAGGGGCACCTTACGTAAGTATGGTAATGAACTAGCTACCGACTGCTACTTTAGCTGAGGACCTGGTTGCTGTGTTTCCCAGCCACTCAAATGCACTTCCAATGATCATCCCGCCGGTCTATCACATGGCTGCGAGAGACCCTCCCGGAGCGTTGTAGGGTAAGAGACGTAAGAGGAATCTCCGTATGCCTGAACTTGATCTGCCCGACGTAGTCACCCCACACACGAAAGACTTCCAGGGCCATGGCGTCCAGGTACTTCATCAGGAAAACGTCACGGACTTGGACCCATACTTGGGCCCAAGTTCATGTACTTGGCCTCAAGTCCGTGTACTTGGCCTCAAGTCCGTGTACTTGGCCCCAAGTCCGTGTACTTGGCCCCAAGTCTGTGTACTTGGTCCCAAGTACACGGACTTGACCCAAGTCTATATACTTGAGGTACTTGGGGTACTTGGGCCACAACTTGGACTTTACATGTTGACTTCAGTATACTCAGGCCTCAATTTGAGCAATTGGTGTTTTATCAGTCACACATCTTGTATACTTCTTATGTAATAATATCTATCATAGACAACCATACACTAGTTGTAAACCAGTCTGTTTTAAGGCTGTAGAAGCAGCTTTATAGTCTATTAGAAGAAGGGCAATAACATGTGATAGAAGACTTTAAGTTGTTACAATGTGCTTGTTTCAGTAGTGATACAGAGGTACAATATCCAGATAATGCTCAAGAATAGTGGTATCAGTGGTGGATGTCCAAGTTCT